GTGGACTAGACAGAGTTGCTGTGTTGAATTTCATCAATATTTATATAATATAATTAAGGAACCAACACAAGTAACAACATAATTGCTTCATTAATAACTGTAATGTGATTATTTAATTTAAGAACAGTAATGCATTACAGACAAATGACAAATAATGTTTTGGACACTGTGCAACATGCACATATTAACACAGCACATGTTCATTTAGAGTCGGGTTTCTGGCCACCTGATGAATGTGTGTCCAATATTCACTAATCTCTTTTCATCTCAGTTTTGCTCTCCACCAACTCTGTGGCTCTTTAGCTGCTAAATACTGCACTGTGTTGACCAGCTAGTTGTTAACTTTGTCAGTCTGTTGTTTGGTGCTGGACAGGTAGTGCAGAGTAAGTTTATCAGAGCTTTTTCACTGAAAACAGCCGCTTGCTCTGTCTGAGAAGAGAGTGAACTCACACTCACGTAATACCAAAACAATGAGCTGAAAGATGCCCCAAAAAATATTAATCAGTGCATATTTAACCATGTTAAAGGCAAAAATCTCCCATACTATTATATCTACCAGCACTAGCAGCATTAGTCCATAATTCAATTCAACCATACGCATTTTATAACAGGTGTGACTCTTATGACTCTTTCTGACTCCACTCCCCAGCTTTCAGCTCACTCTACCTACACATTTTACTCACACCTGGTCTCTCACAAGTAGTCAGAGGCATTTAGGAAAGTGCGGTACAACAGGTGGACAGAATAATCCCCTACAATGTAATGTCCTGCGATAAATATTACATTTGTAATGGTGACAAAACAGTCTCACTTCAAGGTCCATTTAGCTTTTCTGAAGCTTTTATTACACTGTTCTCATCAGCAGACTGAGTTTTCTCATTTAATAACTTGGTGATCCCATGATTCTGAGCACTTCTAGGACTTCTCATCTATAATATTGCCTTAAAAGTTATCGTTCAAAGTTCATTCTTGATCTTGAAACCCCCATTTGACAAAACAATCTCACCTCAAGGTCCATTTAGTAGCTTTTCTGGATTCTCATCTTCTGTGTGTTATTCATAAAAGCACCAAAACAACTTCTGAAAGGACCTTGAGGTGAGATCTGAGAATTACAATAATGTTCAGATTTATTGAGGCTGGTTTGAAAGTGTTGATTCAAATGTGTAGTACATGTTTTGCTTGTGGAGTTGAATTGGATTGTAGTATAGCATAAGATGTCCACTGTATTGTTCAGCACTCCCTCCCTACACGGATGAAGTACAATGACAGAGAGTTGATACACCAGAAAAGTAAATTGCTACACTGCTCATGTGTTTTGTTGGTCATAAATTAATTACATATAATACAGTCAAGGCAAATTCTATTTTTAGCTGAGTTGATTCAGTGTCAAGTAAAAGCCAGGCAATCTTTCATAGGTTTGTGTTTTTAACACTTTGCACCTCTGTGCTCAGCTCTGATGGATAGGGGGGAAAGTGGTTCCCTGGCAACTTTAGGGAACAGCTTGTGCATCCTTGTCACATTGTCATGTGAAGGATAGCCGAGGGCCATCTCAACAGTCTCGGGCTGTCTGTCTGTGAATTATTTATCGAAGAGAGAGACGGTGACATTTCTACACCCTGCGAGAACGGGAGAGGGTGATGTCTCTCTCAGTGTTTTTCCTCATAGGTGGGGTTGATTTAAATATTTAATTTCCTTGTTTACAAGTTTAGATGATACAGTGGTTCTCATTTTAAATGCAATGTATAGGTCTCAGTGTTTAGCAGTGTAAGAACCAAATGTAATACCGGATTTGTCTCTTCAGAAAAGCTGCTTAGGCATCAAAGTCTTTGCTCCCCCCTAATGCCACATTTATTTGAGCTATACCGTTAATATCAAAAAGTTTCAAATGTCTATCACTGTGTAGAGCCCTGAATACTGCCCTGATTGCTCCGCTCAATTTTTCAAGTTTTCATTTAAATATTAAGGTTTTGTTTTAGCATTGATGGGGTTTCTGCCTCTGGTAAAAGGCTGCACTAGCTCCTGTTGAATTATTGGGAACATTTGGGAAATGTTACACTTCCAACAACATTGAATAAGACAGACTGGCTGTTCGATAGACAGACATGAAGAAGCACAAACCTCAAACATACAGAACACAATGAAGATCCTGACTCCCCAAGGTCACCACAGGCACCCACTGCTGCTGCTCTTCACTCAATGCAGCCAGCACAATCTCCTGGTTACCACAGCAACTCTGACTAGGCCTCCTGTAGTCAATTACCACGTTATCAACACATACACACAGATGGCAGGCAGGGGTGGCTGCGCACATGCACGCAAATACTGTACACGCACGCCCTGAGTAAGCATGCACGCTCGGGCATGTGCAGACGTGCACACTTCCACACAATCACAAACAATCTTATCAGTGTTTTCTTGATGTTAATCTGTCAAATGCTTTTCCCTTTTCATTGTGAGCAGCTTTGCCTCTTTCTCTGAATGTTCAAACTCGTCTTCTAAAGCTGTAAACGGGTAAAACATTAGATAAAAATTGCCGTAACAAATTGGTTGGATTCAGATTTTTAAGTAAAATGTGTCTTGTTTGGCTGTTGCAAGGTCTTGTGGGAACAATCTGTGCTTATAAAAGTCTCAGGCTAAAAGCAAAGACCTTATTTTCTGCAGGTTTTACCTTTTCTTAACGTCAAATATTTTGTGCAGCTGGTGCCATGATATCATAAGATTTTTCTGCCTTATATTCCAAAGAGTAAAGATAAACCGTGATCTGATTATGGTGAGAGGCGACTCCAGGACTAAGATGGATTTCAGGGGCATTTTATTGATGTTTGTATCCTGCTCTAGAGTCACGGCACATAGGCGGCCGTTGCAGACTCTGCTTTTGACTCAGTTCTGCCACTTATGCACTTGAAAGGTCACATTTCATATTGTGTTCTAATATCAGAAGACTTTTTATTACATTTCACCACTTTGTGTCTTAGAAGCTCCCATATAACCGCACCCTGGGAGGCAATCCATCGTGATCAACGCTCCATTCTTTGCCACACACTTCACTGAACAGGATTCACATTATACTAACTTTTCCTTTATATAACATGGCTGCAATATTTTCGGCTCTGTGCATCTGGTGTTTGTGACATTTGAGTAATTTGTCATAAAGTGCTAATGTCTGACTCATAAGTCAACCATGTAATACGCCTCCTTGTGTGTTCCTAAAGTCCTCACAATACATTCACAAGAAATACAGCTTCAACATCTTTAGGCACTCTCAGCAAAAAAAAAAACAGCCCTTTTTGTACAAACTGTCTGTGTTGTGATGTAGTTATTTGTACCGCTATCTTACAATGAAGCCTTATCTCTATTGTATGTTGTGAGTACCGAATATAGACAAAGAGTGGAGGACAAAAAGGAGGAGACTTTTTTCAATTACATCTCCTCTCCTCTTCTCCGCCTCCTCCACTTGCTTTTAGTATTTCCTCATATGAATGTCAAAATGTTGAAGGTTAATGATAAGTTAATTGTGAGCTAGGATGCTTTAAAACAGGGCTCGCAATCATGTGAGGCTTGACAACAAAGGGAGAGGGAGGAACCTTTTATTTTGGATCCTGGCCATAGCTTTCCATTTCCTAATGTCTATGATTCAATTATGCATCCATTAGTTCACTGGTAATCATGTCTTTGCCAATAGGTCAAAGTTGCCTGCTGCGCTCTATAGTAGCTTTCCAGCAAATGCTACTGTACATGCCCGATCAACTAATGAGACAGGGCAAATACCAGGCATGTAATCCAAGGACAGGTTATGGTTAGGATTTGACGAGACTGCAACATGTTCATTGAACTGAAAGTTGCACCTGCAGATTTGTGTGTCATACTGTGGAGATAAAAGTGGAACTGCAGCATGTCGAGCTCGCTTGATCTGGCCTCCTTTTTTGCAAGATGCTTTGAATCTAGTGGGGAGAGAGAAAAAGTGCACTCAGTGATCACTTGATTAGAGCTGAAACAATTTTAATCAAAAGTGTCAAAAATTAATTGGTTCCAGCTTCTTAAAAGTGAATATTTGCTGGTTTTGTAAGCTGGATATTTTTAGATTCAGGACTTGGGTATGTGGTGGGCATACACAACATTTTTTATGGAACAGTTGATTACTATTGAAAATAACTGGCAGAAGTAAATAATGTAATGTATGTAAATATATTAGTTGCACTCCTAGAATTGATTATGAATTAGGCCTGCAACAAAACATGACTTCCTTAATTGATTGAACTGCCAATTACTGTCACAAAACAGTCTCAAATTAATAAAACAATTAGAATTGCTTGTTTTATCTGACCAATAGAAAAAGAGAAAAAAATCAGTTTACTGTTATATAGGGAAGAAATGCAAACGAATCTCACATTTAAGAAGATTTGTGGCACTTTTGCTTTAAAAAATTACAGTTAGTTGCTGTTTAATTTTCTGTCAACTAACTGATTCATTAACCGACTAATTGTTTCAGCTAATGACATGACAATGAATAATCACTTCTTATCTAAAGTTGTTACATTCTCTAAAATGTTAACGCCTGTATCGGGAGAACGTTTCACTTCATGCAATATTTACTTTGATGCCAGGAGTCAATGTTGTTGTTATTGTGTGTGAGATTTCTCAGGGACAGGATATCCCACTCTGAAATAAAAGGCATGTCAAATTCACTCAAGCACATACTGTATCATGCAGCACTGAGAGGGGTGAGGGCTCAGATTGTCAACAGCATCTCAACACAAAGACCTCCGAGGTCCGCTGCTGACAGTCCAACAAGAACAGGTTACTGTAGGTGCTTTTCAGCTGCTTTTGAAACAATCCCCTATTGAGCACTACCTTTATGTCCACTTCACAAACACACATAGCTGCAAACTAAAATTTTACTTCAGGGTCAGAACTAAGATTTAAATGCTCAGTCTTTTTGGCTATCCTGTTGTGTCCACATATCACTAAAATCCCTGTATTTGTCTCTTTGTGTATTTTAGATATTCACACGCTATGGGAAGTGCTACACCTTTAATTCAGGCCAAGATGGACGACCCCTCATGGTGACAATGAAGGGTGGGATGGGCAACGGCCTGGAGCTGATGCTGGATATCCAACAGGATGAATACTTGCCTGTATGGGGAGAAACTGGTAAGCTTATCTGGAGGATACATAACATGAAACATCCCATTCCCAGTTCTGAAGATCTCAGCGAAAAACAAAATTGGTGTTTATGTTTGCCCTTGAGCGAGTGAAAAAGAGATTTTTTTTAATCAACTAAACACCAAAGTAGCCGGTTATTTTCAGTGTTGGCGCTCTAAGAAATCTATCGCAGGGATTCTTCTCTAATCCCTTAGATAGAGGCCCGACTAGGTTATATTGCATTCCTTGAGAGGACTTTTGATGTAATTGTGAAACTCTAAATCCATTTAGGATAGTGAACATGTGCATACTTGTACTACACCAAATAGGTCCAAATTAGGTTTATCTATATAGTAAAGTTATGCACCTGAAATATTAAATTCTCTAAACACTTCCATTAATTATGAGTAATGATCCTGAAAAATGCATCCTCTGATCATTTGAAATGCACTTGCTGTGTCCACAGAATATTACAGACAGTAACAGAATATTATCGACTAATCTATATAAAGACAGATGGATATTGATCATGAAAATTTTATTTCATTGTAATATAATTGCATCACTTGTCAGTTAGGCTTCAAGTCCACATGAATCAAACAAGGGCAGAGCCATTTGCCAGATATAAAATCAATGGAGGCTATAGGCTCTTCCATTCAGGGCCGACCCCTCATCAACACAGTTGAGTCTCCTCTGTGCCGCTCCAGGAGACCCTGAAACTCTGGTTTTAATGCAGCTGCATATGTTGCTGTGAGTTTGCATCAATATTTTATATGCACTGAGAAATGAATGGGACAGTTCACTATGGTTACAAAAAGACTGTGCTCACGATACGCATTAAACATGGAGCACAAAGCGATAAGCTGTGATGTGACTATAATATTTAAATGTAAAGTTTCATCTGCTCAAAGCCTAAATGATTTAATATTATTAATATATAATGCTCTTTATGTAAGATTATTAAATGATTAAAGACTTGTACAAGAGGGGATTTGGTGGAATCTTTAGGATGCAGTAACTACAATACATACACAGTCATTTACTTTGTTCTCATAATCTTCTTTATTCTGTTTATTTTACTGTTATTTCATGATTGTTTATATTATTGTCAGAGTCACTTTCTGTACTGAACTTATTAACAAATATCAGACTTTGATTGTTTTTCCAAATACCGGGAACCTTTTGTCATTAATGCCTAAAATAATGCAGATTAGCCATTGATTAGTCCTATTATAACAGCATTTATTACCTGTTTGTTTAATCTGGCTGGATGCCCTGCAGTGCATAATGTGCCAGTTCAAACACCTGAGGCCTTATTTATTGACACATGCAAGTTCTGAATGTGTGTGTAGGATCTGTCCCTAATAACAAGAAAATTGGTATTTATCAAACATGTACACGCACAACTTCACACAATGAACATGATAAAAACTCACCTATTTATCCATCTAACATATTATCCATCAAATATACTCAGCAATTCCCTTTGAAAGTCCTATTAACCTTAATGTAGTTACTTGTTGTGGACTTTTTTGTAAATATGGCTCATTTTATGTGTTTTCCTACGTTGATACTGGTTATTTTTGTTACATTGTGTTCTACAACATTTACATTATTAACACACTTAATTGGTTGCTATAAGTTGTTATTATAAGCGAATGTAGTTCGACCACGAGTGATACGTCAAGGTCTCCCACCTATGTAAAAATGTGGGCACAAAAAGATGTTCTTGTTGTTAACCTGTATACTGTACAATGTTGAACTTTCTCTTAATTAATGAACCTGATATCACCACAGTAGAATAAACATACAGGGTTGAGACAGGTGGTTGACAAATCATGATTTGCAGTAGGCAAAATAGATATTGGATGCTACGTAATTGGATACTAGTACAGAGAACAGAAAATATACCTGGCTTAGTTAAAACAATTAAAATTAATGGCACCAAAACGTAACATTTTTTGCAATTGAATGTCATTAACAGATCCTCTTGATCTCATATATGTGCTTAGTGATGCACTAAAAGAGAACCCTGGGAATAGAGGCATTAAACAGATAATATCACTGAGAGAAGCGATTGATTTGTTTTCTAAATAAAAATGGAAAATCTTCAAACAATCTATTCATTATTATGTGGTTGATAGTAGAGTTTCTTTGTCTGTAATTTAAAATGTGTACAACCAAAGGTTTGTTGGTAAAATTGATAAAACAAATTCTATGGAAAGAAATTAATCTACACGATGTGTAAGTACAAAACTGAGTATGCACGGTCTAGGAAAATGTCAGTCTAACACATGTACACTAATAATAATTTAGAGTTTTTACTTCAACTGACCTTTGTATCTTTGGACTGTGAGAGGAATTGGGAGCAACCCAAGCAGACACAGGCCTGTCTTCTCATTTCACAGTGTGTGCATCCTTGATTCCTTTCCTCGCACCTTGGTCCCTCCCACCTGAGGTGCAAGCAGAGGAAGCAAGGAAGAGGCACAAAGATTGTTGCCTCAACAGACATTTAACAAAATGAGACATCCCTGCTTCTGAGCCATCTTTCTAAAGCAATATCAATCAGTTAATTAATATGTTGTGTGACACAGCTGCATCAATCTGTCAACACTTCTTTATATGTCATGGGTGCTGAAAAGATTTCCAAAGAGGATAAACCTGCACTCCTCTGGCAAGCCTTCTCATTCCTTGCTCCTCTCTCCTCAACATGCACTTTCTAGGAATTATGACATCCTTCAAGATGAGATTTCTTAGACTATACTTTTATGCTATGTACTGTGTGCTAGTAATCAATGTTAAAATCCTGGTTTGTGCTCCCTGGGGAGGAGGAAGGAGACAAGGTGGTACAAAACAGAGAAATGAGCTCAGGGAGAACATGCAAACTCCTCTCAAAAACAATACTACTGGGTGTGTCAAACCCTTTATGCTGTCATCCAACAGTGGCAACCACTGAGGCCCTGTCCTCATTGAATGATGATGATGAAAAAGAGAAATCCAAGAAAATGTGACTGGGCAAGTGTGATGATGTAGATTTATAAAAATTAGATTCCCCACAGTTTTTAACCAATAAGCTTAAAACCACAGCTGCATTATGCCTCAAGGTCATGGCGACTGTTTTGTTAAGAAATGTTCTGTGTAATTGTTGCATACCTGAAATTATTCCACAACAAAGCAACGCCAGTGAAATAACTTTGAGGCAGCTGAATATCAATAATGAATTGTGTAGTGTCAAGTATGATCAAGTTTCCGTTTCATTTCAAGGTTTAGTCCAAATATCATTATTCCAATTGGATGACAGATGGCCGTGACTTAAAGATGACACACTTTTGCGAGCAGGAGCTTGGACACAACTTATGTATATGTGCAGCTTCAAGCCTCGAGCATTTGTCTTGGCAACAACAGAAAATGGCTTTGTATCCAGTCTCAGAAGAGCAATGTATAACAGTTAAAGTCTGTCGCTCATTGTCGAAGCTCTCTTGCTGAATTCCAGCCGCATCCCTGAGCTCTTTAATTGAAAATAGTGAGAAAGCCTGGCACTTAGAAGACGATACCGAGTGACAAGCGGGGAGGAAAGGCGGCAGGAAACAGACATCCTACTTTATCCCCGAGCCAGCTCTCAAAGGAACAAAATCTCTTGAATCCAGCCTGCCATCACCATGATAAGCAGTACCAGGCCTCTGCAAATGTGATAGAAATATGTTTGCACAAGTATAGGTTTGAGTCACCATGTCATTGTGATGTTCCCCTGATCTCGGTATCAAAGAGGCCATCTGCTTCATTTAAAATCTATACAGCAGAGTGCTGTAGCAAAGGAAGCTGTCAGCTGTATTGATTTTCCTTTTATCCTCATCATCATTTATTTATTAATTTATCTATTCACTCTCATTTCCCTCTGCAGTAAATAAGACTCCTGTGGGGACATATTGTCATCCACCACCTACTTAGGAAGTCCATCTTCTTTATCCTTTCACTCCTCATTCCACCTATTGTTAACTCCTTAAAGACCTTGTATTTGTCATCCCTGGAGGTCCATAGGTGAAACTAATGAATAAGCAATTACTCCCAAGTAATTGTTCTTTCTTGTACAAATAAGACTATGACTAAATGATATTTTTTCGGACTTGTTTTTCACTTACTGGCTGAAACATATTCCACTACTGCAATGCCTGTTCTCCATTTGATTAGTAACAACTGCTGCTGGGTAAATCATGCAGGCCAATGTGTGAATATAAATCATCATCCCTGTTGTAAATGTCCTAACCTCTTCTTGTCAACAGACGAGACATCGTTCGAAGCAGGGATCAAAGTTCAGATCCACACCCAGGACGAGCCGCCGTTCATAGACCAGCTGGGCTTTGGAGTGGCGCCGGGGTTTCAGACCTTTGTCTCCTGTCAGGAACAACGGGTACGTCTTGGGAAAGACATGAAATGTATATATCTCAGCACATTTCAACAGGAAAAATCTGTAAATTAATATCGGCCTTTTAATCTGATTTTGAGGATTTTAAAGAGCTGTAAATCAAATAATCTTGTAACTGTCAACTATGCAAACATAAAATGAGCCACTCCAGCTTAAATAATAAGAATAATAACCTATAATTTGTAAAGCTTTTTTCAAAACAACATACAAAATCCAAGTTTAAAAAGGTTTTCACTGTTGATTAATTTCAACAAGAAGGGTGTTTCACAGTTTTGGGGCCCTGACAATAAATACACAGTCTCCTTTATGTTGTAAGTCTAGATCGGGGGACCGCTAGCTTTTAATTTTGTTGCAAGATCTGACAAGTGCAGGTACACATGGTCGCAATAGCCCTCAAATATATGCTGGAGCATGGCGTGATTTCAAAGTAATTATACCTCTTCTGACACTAGGCTTAATGGAGGCAGCCAGGTTTTCAAATCTATCATCAGTAATGCACATAAAGCTGTTTGTCATCAGCATAGCAATGACAAGAAATGGTATTATGTATTATTCCGCGGGTCTTGACAATATAAAACTGCCTAGAGGTTGTGATATTCACAACTGAATAATTTAGATAATTTTTAAGTATTTTGTCTTTTATCTGGCAGTATATATGTATGTATTAAGTACTGTTAGTATTTACAAAATTTATTTGTAAATTTAGTGGATGCAGTGCATGTGTGTGGCTTGTCCGAATAATGATTTTCCTGTTTTATTTTTGTTGTGGATTTTTTAATATAGCCTACTTTAGTCCATGTAGCTTTTCTATTGATTTAGAGAGCTTTATAAAACGTATTACCTGACACTGTTGTTTTCAATCGACAAACATTTTTTTCAATGTCAAATTCAGTTTTGACTCTGACAGCTTCAAATTTAATTTCTCTCCCACAATCTGTTTACACTTTAAATTTGACTAGAAAATTGTCTTGTAAACACCTTGTCATAAATCCACTCATACATTGGCTAATGCATCAGTGATATATACTGGGATCATTGGGAGTGTTTTGGGGCTTTCAACATCAGACATCCTGCATGGTCCAGGTGACCCTGCCAGGGTTGATCAATCCCTGGCCTATATCCCAGTAGCACTCACTGCTCACTCCCCTTGATCCACAACCATCTGGAGGATCTTTCTGAGGCACTCCTGATGGCCCTGCCCTTTTCTGACCCCCCCATCACTCCACAGCAGACTAAGAGCTTTACTGAAATTTCACAGGCCAGTCAGTATCTCAATCATCTGAAATTTAAACAATGAGCACAAGCTGTTCAGTCAGTGAGCTTATCAGAAACTCCTCTCTGTGAGTTTAACAATGTCAAGGCAAATGGGAGACATTCTGAACGTATTTAAAGCTCCATTAAGGGATATTTTTGTGTGAATATTAAATCTAATGACCCCCTATAATCTGAAGTGGCTACTGCTGAAACCACTAAAACCTATCACCCAACTCTCTGCTCCACACACAGACTGCATGGTTGTCATAGAGAGAACACACAGTGTATTTACTGTACATAGACCGCAACATAGCCCTGACAGCGACCCAGTTTCCATATAACAAGTAGTCCATACAACAAGATGGGCTGAAATTTGAAAACATTTCCAAACATTAACCTGATAATCAAACTGATATAAAGGCAGGTTATTGAGGAAAATGCAATACTGATGACAATGAAAAAACTAGGTACATTTACTCAATTACTGTACAACCTTGAGGCACTTGTACTTTATTTGAGTATTTCTATTTTATGCAACCTTTTCACTCTGCCCTTACTAAATTTCAGAAGCAGAGCAAAAACTCAGATTTTACATAAGAACAAATGCTAAGCTTATAAAACACAATGCACTGTTAAAGATGCTTGTGATCAAGCAAGTCTCTCTGCCACTGTGCGTTCCCCCAGCACACAACCAAGCAAGCACGACAGACCTTTCACAAACAAAAAGCTCTTCATTTTCCAGCTGCACACACATTCAACATAAATACTCAGCTTCTAAGTGTCTTTGCTCGGCTTCTGTAGCCCTTCTCTGCAGTCCAAGAAAGAATAATCCCAGCACCCAATGCAAATGTGCTGGCGTGTCTGGCAATCCTTTTTGGTGTGTGTGTGTGTGCAGCCGCCATCTGAAGGTCCAGCATGCTAGTGCATTTAAAAAGAAAGAGATCTCCATACCTCACTCCCTCCTGCAGCTGAATGTGAACCACGCCCACCTCCACAGTGGAGATGGTACCCCTAGTTACGTTACACATGTCTATGAGTTGTTAGCATTTAGTCTCAAAACTTCTCTGGTGGTTTCGTTAAGATCAATGTTTCTCAAATGGGAGTACTTAGTAAATAGGGTTACTTTGGAGTACTGCAGAGGGTATGTGACTTTTATTTTATATATTAGTCATGCTTAATTCCTAAAATAATTATAAGTTCAATAACAAATGTAAATGTAAGTTTAATAAACTACTTTTTATATTCAGTATTCCGGTTTTCAATGTAATCATTAACTACCGTAAACTGTCAACTGCTGCAAAACATCTGTAAAAGAGTTTGATCACTGCGGTTGTCTCCCTGACACCAAGAATAACAAAGATGACAAAGATCAAAGATGTTTCTCAGTAAGTGCAACTTATCAAAAAGACACAGTTCAATGCAACTACAATCCCATCTTAGTGTTATTGCATGATGATAAAAAATGGCCATGACTTCAGTGATGGATTCTAAACATTTGAAATGAAACATTTACTTTTTTTGATAGCATTGATGATGTAGCACTGTATTGTACCCCTTTAGAAAGGCTTTTTTTCTATCAAAAATGTTATTTGCTGGTCAGGAAAATATTTTAACAGGGGCACGTTAATAAAATAAGTTTTAGAACCAACCACTCATTTAGATAACTGTTTCTGGGTCCAAAGGGGTAAAATGATCTAATATTTCACAAAAAATCAAAGTCAATAATGAATACAAGGTTTTTTTATTCCCTACCCTATCAGTCATCTCACAACCCCTCAGATTTATCTAGACCCTTTGGAAGGGGTCAAAACCCAGGGTTTGGGAACCACTGGACTAAACTACCTAGTTTAGTCCATTTAGTATTTAAAACTTGCTCCAACTCAACCAGCTACAACAGTGAAATGCTACTTACACATCATTGCATCAGTATTAACAATCTTACCTGTAAAATACAATAATCTGTATTTTTTCTGCAGAACAACTACTTTTACTTTTGATACTTTGTGTACATTTTGATGTTGTTGTTTAAAAAATTATCTATATGCTTCTTCCACCACTACACAAAATGTTTCCTCAATCTGGGTATTCACAGTCGTGCATGTGCCCCAGTGATTGAGCCACTTGAGTGATTGAGGAAAGTAACATATTTGTCACTGGCCGTGTTCAAGGCTTCTGTTGGACCCTAGGGAGTTGAAATGAGGCGTCCCACATGGTAAACACTGCACTATCAGCAGTGTGCTGTGTTTTGAAGGACAAATGCTATTCTGCTTTCACACAAAGGCGGTTAAAAACATTATTTTAGCTGGTAATCAATCCTGTGTTTCACAAAGAAGGCAAAAAGTCTGCCACAGACCTATCAATAATGTGACAGTCATAAGGACTTATTCTTTTTACTCTTCTTTGAAATGATGGAAGCTGACATTTACTTCATATTTACCAATCCTACAGTGCAATTGAAGTCACCGTTCATAATTGTTAGTCCCTTGGAGATCTTGGGCCCTTGTACAGATACCTACTTGGGGTCTTGACAATATTACAGAAACATAAACTTTCCCCAAATCGGCTTGTGGAAGTCTGTGTCGCTCAGTGAAGTGTGTGTAAGTTTTTCCAGTGTGAATTATTCTGTGGATGTGATGGTGAGCGTACAGCCTGACAAATCATATACTCTGGGCCCTAATATGGTACAGAACCATGCATAATGAATGGAGGAGAGAAAGGGATGGATTCGGGAGTGCTCTCAGTCCTTCCACGTCCACCCTACTAGTGAGTGTGTTCCAGTGTCAGTGGGCTGCAGCAGGATTTTGCATGCTGCCAATGTCGCGTCTGCAGGAAACTGTCCCTCTTTGTTTTTCTCTATTTCTCACTAGCTCCCTTACTTTTTTCCTCTCCAACAGTCATTACAATTCCTCTAATACAGTTCCTCTCTTTTAATATGATTCCTTTCTCTCGCTCTCTCTTTCTCTCTCTATGTATTTATTTATTTATTTCATTGGCTGGCAGGCTCAGTCTTCATTAATCTAATGCAGTTTGCTCACAGTCATTCAACTCTCTGCTTCAGCAGTCCTGTAGTGTAAAACTGTTGGGGTCTTTTCAGTTGGCCAAACTGTCAATCACTGTGATCCCACAAAAGAAAAATCTGCAATATCCCTCTACTCAATATGAATAACAAAAACCTCACAGTGTTTTTTCACCCAGTTTGCCTCCATCCTCCTCTTTTGCTGTCCACCGAGTCTTGCTGACTCTCGCCTTTCTTTTTCCTACCTCTTACCCTTTTTGTTTACTCTTTCTCTCTCAGTTAATGAACGGGGAATTGAGGTCAGAGTCTTAACATGATTTCTATTCTTCTTCATGGTTGTTAAACATCTATCAGCACCACTAAACTCTTATGAAATCTCTTATGCCAGATTCACCTTTGTCCACACTTTAGGTTTAACCAATGGGAAGTAATGCTGCCTCAAGGTGGTTTAGGATGGCTGAGTGGAGCTTTTGAAAATGCAGAGAAATCGAAATAGCCGAACTGTGAGCCATTAGCCATTCTTATGGCTGTGACAGTGGGTCTAGTCTTCATGATGAGGTGAATAAATACACAAGCACCTAGGATTGATTGACATTTCATCCAGCTGTAATGGTTTTTATGTTCTGTTTGACTTTGTCAAACGTCCTTGATGTGAAAAAATAAGCAGATGAATCATTCTAGTCTCTGGATAAGATTTTAGTCAGAGCTATCTGGTTGTCTTCACTGTGCTGTACTTGTATGCACGTGTGTGTTCATGTTGAACATCGCCTTGGGTTATTAGTAACCAAATCCAGTGCATGACACACGTGGCTGCCTCTTGCTCTCCAGTACAAATTGTAAAAGGCAGGTCCCTAAATCATAACAGTGGCCTTTAATTTATTGCTGTGTGAGCACTCAGTGATGCACTGTTTGAACTGATGAGACGGAGACACACAGGGGCTGTTTTATAGCTTGCTACTTCATTTAATGCATCACATTTTGCCCTTATTTTTTAAGGCAGCTGAAATGTAAATTAATATGGATAATATTTTAATATGATATGCAAATATGTGAAAATACATTCTGCTGGAGGGAGTTCAGTATGATACAACCTCGAGTATAAACAAGATTTGTTGGGGCTTATTTCATAGGAGATATATTCACATCTGTCGCACTGCATACATCCCAGTTGTATTAATTCTTTATTCAGTTGTTTTCTTTTTACTGTTTCTGTTTTTATCCACTTTGCCTCTCATTGTGATTCTATAAGGCTATGTAGGCCAAGGAAATAGTGGAACCTAGAGTTGTGATCTCTGTGGTCAAGCAATATGCTTATGATTATCTCATCTTTATATGTATTTATTTATTTTTATTATATATTTGGTATGTGCTGGTTTTCTGTCCTAGACTTTTATTATATTTTGTTGATGATTTATATGTTTATATGCTGCCTAAATAGGCCCAAAATAT